ACTAATTAGGAAGAAGTTATAGGAACAAGCATGTGAATACATGTGTGGGACATGTACCGCTGTGTTAGGTTTACCTCAAGGATAGTTAAGTGTCCTAAGGTAGGGTGCGAAATCCATATTGGGTAATACCAAAATCTAGTGTATGAATAGTGAAGAAACCCATTGGGTTAGAGGGCTGATGGAGGTAGTTAGAACCAGATAGTTTAAATGGGTACCCCCCTAGTTGGGGCACAGGTACAGCAGATAGTGTAGAACCTTCAGGTGGACTACTTAAATAGACACTCAAAAGGTGCACGTGTGGCTTGATATACCATCATTGTAATTACATATAAAACTTCATTTATACTCTAATAAAAAGTTTCCCAGACCAAAGAGGTCACCTTAATACCAAAAAAAAAAAAAAAAAAAAATTCTACAATTATATAAAGTTTACCAGTATTATATTAGCTAGTATTATTAATGATTACAGATTCTAAATCTAGACCAAAATTTAAAAAATAATCTAAACCAATTAGAGCTAAAAATTTTGGCAATTATGGCTAATTAATATATTACCAATCTGGCACATATTCAAAAATTGCTTTCATTATAATAAAATACAGTATATAATCTAATAATTTTTTTTAAAAAAATTATATTATCAATTTATCAGAGCAGTAAAAAATTCAAATAGAAAAAATATAAAACAAAAATAATAAAATTAACTACAAAATATCTATAAAAACTATCAAAATTTTTCTAATGCTCTTGATTGGTCAAGTCTACTCTGTTTGTAATATAGCAAAAGCAAAATCAACTATTTAAACTATACAATACTTTCAACTTTCTGATATAGTAAGTCTTTTTTTTTTAGCCACTTTTTCACTAAAAATGGGCCAGTAAAAGCAAAACCAGCAAAACCGTGTTTCACCAAACTTAGATCGCGTTAAAAACGACTACCAATTATTTTTTCATAGAGCTACTCTGATTGGCTAAAATTTAGAGTAATCAAAAAGATTGTTCACTCATTAATTATTTTTTTATCTTCAGTGAAGCCATTATCGATATCAAAAAACTATACTGTTCTTTATACTACTAGAAACTTTTATAGCAAATAAAACAAAAAACTAAATTAATACGCAAAGAGCAAACATTTTCTATCTTCTAATTGTTTAAATTATTTTTTTTCTTATGTCATATATCTATTTTATTATAAATTATTTTAGATACATTAAAGAATTCGTATAAAGTGTGTTGTCAAATATACATATGGGCTTGGTGCTACAAAAAGGGGGGAAATTGACAAATTTTTAAAAAATTTATTTTTACACACATCAATTTAGAATAATATTAGGATCATTTTTTACTTAAAACAAAAAAGCAGTTGTATTAATAAAATTTTGTAGTATAGCTCTTTAAAATTTGTATTTTCTTAGGATTTATTATAAATTAACAACAATAAAAATTAATTTTCTGAAGATCTTTTGTTTTGTCGATTTCCCCCCTTTTTGCAGCACCAAGCCCATATTATTGTATATAGCCAAATATGGCTGTTGCGATAAGTTATTTGTAAATTGTTAAGAGGATGAGTCGAAGGAAAAGTTTTATATGAATTAAAATTCAAGATACCAAGCTTTGGTACTAGAGTTTTTAGGTAATTGGTAAATCGCCTTTTTTTTTTTTTTTTGGAATAATCGATTGAAAGATAAAAAGAGATAGCTCAAACATCGATCGTCATCTTTGAATCAATGTTTGAGCGTCATCTCTAGCCAATTACATTGAGAGTGTGTTTGAGAACAACTTTAATCTTCACAAATTTATTTACTATTATTACGTTATTATTTAATAAATTCTAAATTTAAATCCATTATCTACTTACATATCTACTTACATACAAGTATTTTAATTTCACTATATCGATAATTCACTTTAACGAGAAATATATATATATTTTTTGGGAGTTTAACTATACTAGTACCTCGATTGTTGTCTCTTAAACCGTCACATTATCATGCTAGTTCGATAGACCAACACGAATTCGTGATAAATTTGCCTGCAAGACGGTTTAAGGAATTGTAAATTTAAATTTAATTTACGGTATACTAACTATATAAACTTAGCACTGGCTTATCATTTATAAAAATAGAATAGTAGAATTTAAAATCAGTATATAGTATTGAGATATTTTTCACGTACGCACCTAATAATTATGTAACGCGTAAAAAAAAAAAAGGATGTTTCATAAAGCTATTAATGATTTCATTTTACATTATAAACATTACCGTTACATTACAAATAATTACAACATTTTCTCATAATAAATAAATCATATTCAAACTAATTCATGAGTGTGTGAATATTTAAATAGTGGCAATTTGCAAAAATATTCAACAAGCACCTTTATTCTTATTTTATTTTTCCAACAACAACAATAACAATAACAGCTAAAGAACATACCAAAAAAAAAAACAAAATGCCTCAAATTGAAGAAGTAACCATCGAAAATTTAAACACTCAAACTAAATCAGTTTTCGAATCAGGGCCCAAGGGTCAACCTCCGAACGTCTTAAATTCTTTGAAACGTGATCACGATTTGTTTAAATCACTTCATCAAGAATTTAACACCGCAAAAACTACGAACGAACGAGAACGAATTGCCAAAGAGATAATGAAAGGTATAGGTATTCATGATAAGATCGAACAACTAGTTTTTTATCCGGCCTTGAAAGATTGTGGAATGGAAATCGGAAATAATTATGTTAAACAAAGCTTGCTTGATCATGATAATGTTAAATCTTCGTTATATGAGCTGAATTCCCTGCTTGAGGACGAGGGGGTCGATTCGCTGATGTTTAAAAATTTCTTAAATAAAACGATGACGGTTTGTATTTTTTTTTTTTTAGGTTTTTTTTTTCTATATTGTTATTAATCACTAGATATGCAATATGTAGGATTTCGTTGCACATGCTGAAGTAGAAGAAAACGAAATTTTCATATTTTGCCAAAAAATATTTGATGGCAAAAAAATCGAGGAGCTTGGTAAAAAGTTGGACGAAATGCGTAAGATGGGTAAGTCTTATTTTCATTAATAGACTTTTTTATCATAATAAATAGCACATCGCTCATATTAATTTTTTTGTTAGGTGTTACGATGATGAAGGCAAGAGATGAAGTAGAGGAAGCAATGGAGGCAGAAACAGAAGCCATGGAAGTAGCAGTTGAATAGTGGTAAAAGGGAATAATACAAATCAAGGATTTGACTTTTTTCTTTGATTTCTTGCGAGAGTTTACGTATTATAAGAAAAATTTTATACTACAGAATTTCGTGTATTTTACACTTTAACGTTAAGCGTGTCGATTTTTTTTATTATTATGAAATGTATTTGATAATTTGCAGTCTTTTTAAGAATTGGTGATACGTGAATAAATTCTGACAAAGTGTCATACATTAAGTGAATATTTAGTGATTATGTGAAAGTCATAACGTACATAACTGTTTTTAAAATTTTGAATGCATTTTACAAATCATACTTTCAAGCGATAACGAGTCTTCAAGGGAAATGACTTAAGACTATTTCATTTCAGTTAATACGTACAGTATTTACGCAATAGCGTGTTTGTTAAAAAACAAAAAATTCGAGATAATAAAATTTTAATCTTAATCTTTTCTAATTTCTAAATATTTCCGAAAACCTAATCATACAATTCTCCACTGTGAACATAATTGTAAAAATTAATTTAAAAAAATACCATATGTATATTTACAGTTTCACTCAGATCACTCAGAAGCGACAGATTTCTTTAAATCTGATAACATTCTTTTTCGCCACTGATCATAACATTGTGTATGAGATTTTCCGTCAACATCTTCAGCAATTTCTTTCCAATCCAAAGGGGTGGGTAATCGTTTAATAATTGATTCAAATAACTGCATTCTTTGGTCTGTGGTCCATGCTATTTAAATCGATAAGAATTAGGATTAAAAAATTATAGTTATGATGCCTTTTCGTTAAAAAAAGAACACGAATAATTACCAGACTTATTAGGTTTCTTTTTATTTTCTGAATTACTAATGTCAGCTTCACTCAATAAATCCGACATTATAGAGTTTTGAATATTCATCGATTCTCCAGCGTCAGCATCCACACTTTTAAAGTTTTTTTCGATTTTCTCTGATTTGCGACGACGTTTTACACCTATTTTGTCCATCTTTCCCAAATTTAAAATTGTACAGTACTTAACATTAACACATACTCAACAAATTGCATTTTCTTGTTTCAATCATTTACCTTTTTGGTTCGAATTCAATGTATTTTGGCGAACAGGGATTATTAATAAAATTAATAAAAAGGATGGACTTCAAAAGGAAGAAATTGGAGAATTGACATTTTAAGGATTCCGTTAATCATGTAGTCAAATTGAATTCCTTCATGTCATTCTAACGCTAAAAGTAGAAATCGGATGATGCTTATCATCCTTCATCATTTTTAATATATCAAAGAGTGAATTAAAAGCCTTTTGTAATCAAGATTGCTTTAAATCAGACGTTTTACATAATGCATGATTGTTGCAATAGTAAACTATTGATATCGAAAAGTGTCGACGATTTTGCATCTCATATTTCGTGTTTTATAATAATTATACCGAAGTTTGTTTTAACTAAACTGACAACATCCTTCTGCTTAATTTAATCTTTCCATTTTTCCTTCAGTCATTATTAATGTTTCAATTTATCATTAATTCAGTCATTATTAACGATAAAAAAAAAAAGAAACCGACCATAATCAATCATTATATTAATTCCGAAAAGTAAATTGCAGAAATCAAAATATAACGTAATTCATGACATAAACAATTGTCTTTTGATCAAATATTGTATGGAATTTTTCCTCGCCGTTTCGTAGGGTGACAGCTGATGTCATAGTATCGTACAACTATTCTCTTCTCTTTCCTCTCTATTATTATTATTTTTCCATTTGCAACGTTTGATATCAATTGATCAGCTAGGCTATCTACCTCGTGGCTGTCAAATTTCTTCTTACAGATGGGTGGGTGATAACGAAAAGCTGGACTTGTAGCAAAGATACAAGAGGTGAAACACATAATTTCTTTTCTTTTTCGCTTACCTATTTAGAATTTTACCACCGGAGACAGGATTGAGGAAGACTTGTACTCACTCTTTTCTATGTATCCAATTCTATTTTCAGCATAAGATTTCCGAATCTGACTTCCGTTCTTATCGATTAATTCTATAGTGCCTAGTGATGTACCCCAAACTGTTTCGGCACCAAATTACGGTTACGGCAAATTTTTGATCGGGATTTGGGTTTTGCCACAATTACAATATATTATATGATGAAAATTTTTTCATCAGAGTTAATGTCAATTTCTTAGGGCGGCAAATATAATTACTATTTGGGACTTTATAACAACCAGGGTTAAATCGCCACCTAAAAAATTTCAGTGATCATGTGATTTAATAATCGCGATATACAACTTGCTCTCGTTATAGTGAAGTCCCCTGGTGAGAAAAAAATCTTCACTATAGTTTATATCAGAGAGTATGTACTCATTATATCGAGTTGGAGTAAATAATTCCGGAATTCAAAATTCTTCACTATATCGAATCTTTACTATAACGAGAGCTCACTAAACGAGAGTGAGTTATATCAAATTAATCAGTTATACAATGCATATCTAATATTAATAAAATTATTCATAAAAAATAGTAAATGCGAAAGTATAATTGATTTTTGAAATATTGAATAATGTAAATCACATGATGTGAAATTTTTTTAGGTGGCGATTTAACCCCGGCTCTTTATAATGCAAATCCCAACTAAGTTTCGGGTGACACCACTAATAGTGCCTCGCGTTTTTATGATTCAAGCTCGATTGAAACTAGGTTAATGTGCAGCATTATTTGTTTATAGCTATCATGTGATCATTATGTTTCACGTGCGTGAACGTTCTTAATTTATTATTTTAACATCGTTATAAGTTTGTTTCCTTTTTTCCTATTTATCAACATCGTTACGTATAAGTTTGTTTCCTTGTTAAGAATACGTTGTATTTTACAAATAGTAATACAGAATCTATAAATAATACAGGATACGTCAGCCAAATTCGTATAAATCTCAATCAAATTCATAATAGTACTGGCATGAAATTTAAATTTGGTTTATCGTCGATATCTCTTAAACTAGTGATTGAGTTTCTATAATTTTAGTACAATCCGAATCGTCTTGATAAGATGATTAAAATGATACTAAAATCATCAAAATTTAATCACTAGATCAAGAGATGCCGATGATAAATCAAAATTAAATTTCATGTATTATTGCGAGATTTATACAAATTTGGTCGACATATCCTGTACCTTGAGTAACTCAAAACCGTTACACAGAATTTTTTTTTTTTAGTAAATTTCAGCAAAGAACCTGATCATAGATCATCAGAACACTTGCCAAGTATACAAAGATCTATTCAAGAAAAAAGTTATTGTGTTTGTTGAAATAATTGTACTAGTAAGGCCATATAAAATTAATTTTTTGGTTCTCATAACATAAAATTTTAAAAATAACCCGGCAATCTGGCTTTTAATTTTATTTTCAAAAAATTTTATATGTAAAAAAACATATAAAATTTTTTACAAAAATTTTAAAAAGT